TTGTGCCATCCATCCATCCATCCATCCATCTATCCATCCATCCATCTATCCATTTGTCCATCCACCCATCCATCCTGTGCCATCCACCCATCCATCCATCCATCTATCCATCCATCCATCTATCCATTTGTCCATCCACCCATCCATCCTGTGCCATCCATCCATCCATCCATCTATCCATCCATCCATCTATCCATTTGTCCATCCACCCATCCATCCTATGCCATCCATCCATCCATCCATCCATCCATCCATCCATCCATCCATCCATCCATCCCTCCATCTATCCATTTGTCCATCCACCCATCCATCCTGTGCCATCCATCCATCCATCCATCCATCCATCCATCTATCCATTTGTCCATCCACCCATCCATCCTGTGCCATCCATCCATCCATCCGTCCATCCATCCACCCATCCATCCTGTGCCACTTGTTCCAGCTTTGGGTCGTGGGAGCAGCAGCTCGAGCAGGGAGGCCCTGGGATCTCTTTCCACAGCCAYCTCTTCTTGTTTCTCTGGGATGATTACAAGGCCATGCAAAAGACRGTCTCTTCAGCGTGTCCTGAAACTTCCTCAAGTCTTTCTCAACTTGCCTGGGAAACCTTGAGGCATCCAGGGAGGATCCTCACCAAGTGCCAGAACCACCACAACTGACTCCTTTGACGTGGAGGAGCAGCGAMTYTACCTCTACTCCAAGATTCTTCCAAATAACTGAAGTTCTCACTCTATCTCATGAACAAAACACGAGATACTTAAACTTTTCTACTTGAGGTAAAATCTCWCTCCCAACTTGGAGAGGGCACATCCTCCATCCTCAGACACATTTCCCATCAAAATTAAGTAAAATACTTAATTTCCTTTGCCAGTTTAAAATGTAATACAACKTTGTTTAACTCATTTTAACTTTTTTCCATAAGTTAGCCATCCGATGATATTCAGAGCATTTTATAAAAAAAATTATCTAAAAGGATTTGAGGAGGGGTGACCCACCTGTGCCGTGCCTGTCCTGCTGCACAACCACACACCCAGAGGATCAGAATCAGGAACCTGAAGCGCTCCATGATTCTCAGCAGTAGAAGACAGAGGGTCTGACTGCAGGTCTTTATATAGATGGTGAGGATGCTTCAGCCACAATAAGCAGGGGGTGGGGGTAGGACTGGATTACTGTAGAACGTGACGTTGCAAGTTGTGTCAATGAGTAACAGTGATTGATAGGGACAGGGTGTGTTCCCTTTGGGTGGGGACTTCTAGGTGTGTGTGTGACCTCTCCAAAAGTACAGGAGCAGGGTGGGGATGCCCATCAAACACTAAATTGCTAACTAGAAACTGTAGTGTAATCACATGATTGGATAATAAACAGAATACTTTGACCACATGGACACACCTTCTGTGGAGTCTATACTGACAGATTTATGAACTTCTTTCAGACCATTTTTTCAGTCTAAAATAACATAAACTCCTGTCAAATAATTCTTCCTGACTAAATTGAAACATCCTAAAGCTGCAGTCTAACTGAAACGAGACTGTTGACAACAAATCGCAAACATCACTTGTAAAGACATCAAAATGTATCAAAACATTTTAAATTTGTCGTGAGTTGCAGGGTCTTGCTCTCATATCACATCTTTGAAAAACAGGTTCAACAAATTTACTTTCAAAAAATTACAAGTGTTGTTGCCTGCATCTTGAACCTCTCTCACCTTAGTTTCCATATTTTTCTTTTAATGGTAAGTTTTATGATACTGTATGAAAATGTGTAACACTAAAAATACATCAGTCTTTTGAAAAGATTGCTGTCCATTAAATCAGGATCTTTGTTTTTATTGTTAGTCTTTGTAGTCCCTTGCATGAGTGGATTTATTGATTTTTTTTTTGTGATTTTTGTGTTTAGTTGTACAGTATTACTTGGGATTTCCTGTGTTTCTCTATAATCTTTCACTTCCCATCAGATGTTTGCTCCTCCACCATTCCTGCCAGTCCCACTCATACCTGCACCTTTTGACTTTCCTTCACAGCTGTAGCCACTTCTCCTCCTTATCTCCAGTCTACTTTATCACTTTGAAGAAATTTATAGTTAGTACTGATTAAATACAACACAGAGTTAGGGTTTTCTACTTTATAATACCTTTATAATGTTTGTCATATTTCTTACAATGTGTTAATTNGGCCGACTTCCTGTTTTGACTTTCAGTGTGTGGTTTGACATGCCAGCTCATGGCTGAATAAACCCTCACTCCAGAATTCTGGTGTTGTATGGCATTTATTTCTATCACAGATCATTTTATTTAACACTGGTGTTTTATCTGATTTCCGCCGTTATTGAACACATATTTCTTACAGTTTTGGTGACTCCCGACGTCGACTGCAGATCAGTACGGCAAGCGAGGCTGGGGTGGGAAACAGGCCCGTCGGGGGATAACTGCCGAATTAGTACACATTCTGGAGCCGGTGAACTGGTGAGAAAAAAACTTTCTTGCCTTCCAGATTGTTAATAAGACTGGGATTGTGTGCCGATCGTGAGGGTTATCCGTGGAGATGTGTGCGGGGTGTTTAATCCAGACTCGCTAAGTGTTAMCTTCTGTATTAGCATTGCTAAGCTAGAGGAAGTCCCAGCATAGCAATGTTAGCTTTGTAGCTAATTGGTGATAGACAAAACAAGCGCTCTTAGCTAAAACGGACGGTAAAAAACGTGTTTTGAAGGGTTTAACATATCGATCTGCTGTGATTTAATGTCATACAATAATATATTTATTTAGAGTACTCAACTTGGGCCGTTTTAAGCGCGTTTCCGGAAAAAATCCTCCAGGTGAATTGTTTAGGTCACGCTGTGGTAGGTGGGAAAAAATCCTCCAGGTGAATTGTTTATGTCACGCTGTGGAAGGTGGGAATAAAACCTCTAGGTGAATTTTTTATAAGTCACGCTATGGTAGGTGGGATAAATCCTGCAGGTGGGCTTTTTATCAAAGCCACGCTGTGAAAGGTGGGTTAAACCTCCAGGTGAGCTAATCTCTTAAGTAGTCACGCTGTGGTAGGTTTGGGGGCTAAGTAATTATGTGGTGGGAGTGCGCAGATTAAGCGTCACTACAAAGAATAAATCCAGTAATTTTTAGCCGGTTACCTAGTGGAGCAGATGCATGGTAGAAAAATAAATATTAGTTAAATCCTTTTCAAAGGTGGATTGTGCATGCATCTTAGGAAAAATCCAGGGACCAAACTCTGTTTTTCATCTTTTGTTCTGTCTGTGGGACAGTGTGTGATATGGGCATGTAATCAGCAGGTGTTCATTCACATGATTGTGTCATTTATTGATGTTAGAGAAAAAGCACTATTCAGTTAAGAAATTAAAAATTGACTACTAGTTAAACTGTGAGATGTGTGATTGTGTGTGCATATTTTGAGATTGTTTTTGGTTGGTTTGGGGTAGACTGGCTGGAAATTGTTTAACAGTAGAAGTGTTTAGGTAAACTGCTAATAGTTATCTGTCAGGTGTACCAGTAGGGTCAGTGAAAAAAAAAAGACTGTTGGTGACATATATACGTTAATAAAATGTCTGATAAACTTATAGATGAACTTAATTACTATCAAGAAGGATCTTTGGGTGTGATTTTGTATCGTACTTTTCAGATTTATCTTGAAGAGGTGGAGTCTAGAAATGTGACTGTGGAAAAGGACGTGTTTGTTGAGAGGTATAGGTTGTTATTGTGTGAGGGTTACATTTCACAGTTAGATCAAGACGKACCTACAGAATCTGATGTGAATAATATAGTTTGTAAACTAGAGCAAACGTGGAAGCAGTCAATTACAAAAGATGGAAAAATCTTGCAGAATGAAAAAGAAAGGATTTACAGATACTGGAAGCGTTTGTTTAGAATTATGAAAGATGTTCTGACCTCGAGCAGGGAGAGTGAAAACAAGACCTTGACGTCTGACAACACTTACACAGAAGCTAAGACTACACAGTGTGATGAACCGAATGATAAGAACTCTCATAAATGACCCAGTAAGACAAAACAAAATCAAGTGACAGCTGACATGACTGATGCTGAGCAACATGAGATGAGGGCCTTAGAGTCACATTTAGCAAAAGCTAAGCTGGAAGATCTGAGABATACAGTGGACCAGATAAAAGAGATTTGTGTAGTACAGATGCTTCAACTAAGGGAAATGCATCAGACAGGCCCGCAGCAACAAGTTTTGCTGCTGAGAGCAGAGGGGCCGAATAATGATCAGCCTGAAAACTTTCTGGGTTACCGATATCCACCTGGTAGAGGTAGACGGCAGAGAATGGGTCGTAAATGTAGAGTTTATCACAAGACGAACGCGTGTTTTGTMTGTGGGCTCATGGGCCACTGGGCTAACGAATGCCCAGTGAGATTTGGGAGACCTGTGCAGCAAGGGGCAAGTCCAGCATTTGCATCTCCATATTATCCACCACAAAAGTTACCACAAACAGCACCGTCGACACATAATGGTCACTAGGCACTAGGTAATATTATCGATGTAACCTGTGAGACAACTGCTGAAAAGGAATCTGTGATACGGGTAAAATAAAGATGTCATATTTCTTACAATGTGTTAATTGAAATAGAGTAGATACATGTCCGAAAATAACAACACATAATTAAAGCTGGATTAACATTAGATTGAGGGCTGTCTGTAAGAATGCCTGTGATTCAGCTGTAGGCCAGCAGGGGCGCACTCGGCATTGAAGATCCTGTATTTATTGGGCCACTTCCTGTTTTGACGTTCAGTGTGTGGTTTGACATGCCAGCTCATGGCTGAATAAACCCTCACTCCAGAATTCTGGTGTTGTATGACATTTATTTCTATCACAGATCATTTTATTTAACACTGGTGTTTAATCTGATTTCAGCCGTTATTGAACACATATTTCTTACAGAAGTGTAGGAGTAATTCTTAAGTGTCAGTCTTACTTTAAATGAAGTGTAGGAGTAATTCTTAAGTGTCAGTCTTACTTTAAATGAAATGTAGGAGTAATTCTTAAGTGTCAGTCTTTAAGTGAAGTGTAGGAGTAATTCTTAAGTGTCAGTCTTTAAGTGAAGTGTAGGAGTAATTCTTAAG